TTTATTCTGGCTGGGCAGACTTACTCCTGCAGAGAAAGAAACTGCAGGCTCAGGCCTTCATTTCTCCTAATTGTCTATGGGAATTATAAACAGCAGTGAGAACACAAAAGCTGGGATGTCTGGTTTTAGAACAATACAAAATAATTGGCACACTTGATCCTTTTCTAATTTTAAGTACACCTCAACCAAGGAGGAGTCAAATCCTAGACATAACACTAATCTGCCCCATGTTTTCTGGGGCTTATGTTTGTTTTTTTTAATCTCATATTTCAGTATTGAGAAAGAACAGGGAAACAATACATACTATTGACACTAATCAGATGCATGAATCGTGATTTTATTGAGGCTTTCTCCCTGCCAACAAAAAGATATTGCACTCCCCGAAATCACGTGCCTTTGCTTACTTTCCTTAGACCTTACATAAGGCAAGACTTCCATGAAAAAATCTGTGTACTCAAACCTCTGTGTGATTTATTTTTGGATGCCTTTCATGAGAAACACAAGGAAAGAAAAACCTGCTGATCTAAGAACCGACAACCAGACCTCCGTTTTGCTTTGAGTAGCCAGACGAAAGAGATGCAACCAAGCAAAAAGCACCACATACATGAATATTATTGAACATAAGACTGCTTTACCCATAGGAAAAAAAAAACCTTAGCAAGATAACAGTCATCCACCCACCACAACAAAACTGTATTACAATCACAATACACCTTCTTTTTCTTTTCCTTTTCCTTTTCTTTTTTTAAGCTAAGCCGTTACTCCCAACTTATTGAAGCCGTTCATTACAATCACAATACACCTTCTTTTCCTTTTCTTTTTTTAAACTAAGCCGTTACTCCCAACTTATTGAAGCCGTTCAGACATCTTCTAAAGCAATATCTGTATTTCAATCTGATAAGCATTCAAAGGAAAAGATACATGTTAAGGTTCTAAAGAATCATTGCTTCTCCCAAACACTGTTTTGCCTAAAAAACTTTGTGCTCCAAACACATTTCCATTCACAATGTTTAGCATCTTTTCCTCATACCCCCCCACTTAAAACAATTAAAATCCATTTTACCTTATTTTACCTTTTGTCAGTAGACGACACGCTTTCCGAAAGAGATCACTTAAACTGCCTAATTTAGAACTCTAAATCTCCTTTTAAAAAGCAAATATTCCTTTGATATTTAACTTAGAAGAATTGTATTAAAAACTGAAGAAACACTAATTGTTTATGTAAAGCCCAGTGAGGGGGGAAAAAAAATAATTGTTGAGAGCCCTGCTTTTTAAGTAAGCTAGATCATAGAATCATAGATCTCAGCCTTCAGGAAGCAGACAACAAAGGGAAGGATGAACTGAAACACCATGAATCGGGGAGGAAAAAAAAAAAAGAAACCAAAAACCTGTAAGAATATACTGTGAGCTACGCCAAGCAGGAAGAGAGACTTTCAGAGAGCTGGGTGGGAGAAATTCACAGGCAGACCAAGAGAGAAAGCTCGGCCAAGTCACTCGGACGACGACCCCCAACCAAGCCCCGTGTCCCTCCCAACCCACCCTTTCCTCCTCCGGGTGGCTATCACCAGCCTCACAGACCTCCGCCTGGGTGACCTCC